AAAGAAAAAGTAAAATAACTAAAAATGAAATAGGGAAATAACACTTTTGTATTATTAAATTATGTTTTTTTGAAGTCATGTAGCCAATATTTACTCAAAATGAAGCACTTCCATAGAATCCATTTGTAAGCAGTAGGCTAATTATATAAGGAATCACCTCGGGTTCCACTAATGGAGGAGGATTATGTTAGTGATTGTTGCAACAACACACAATAACTAAAAGCGCAAGAACTAGCAATAGTACTCTAATAAAAACACTTAGTGGGTAAACTAGTGAGGTCCCATTTCCATACTAAAACTCCTAGTCAATAAATCCAGTGGGTGGAAAATTTTTATATTATATCTAAAAGAAAATTGATTTCAATCTATAAACTTCTTTCTCCAATCTAAACTTATCTTAAAGATTATGACATACCTAAAGAATTTCCTTTTGAGGCAATAGTGAGTAATCATTCTTTGTTGGTTAGCATCTCTAAGAACATGTAGCTTGAGTCATTATATCCTTAAAAGAGTAAGTGAAATACATTATTTAGTTAAGATAGCTCCATAGTTTACAAATATTCAAAATGACTTGAATTGAACAAACCTTTTGTAGTAGCATCAACAAGTGCCCAAGTGTCTTAGAGCAACAATATATAGCCAAGTGAATTGGTTATGGTAAACAATGTACCACTCAGTGACAAGGTGAGTTTTCCCCACTTCTGGAGTGATCCACCAAAAAAGTCAAAGGAGAAACTCTTATGAAATCAATAAAACATTCAAGAGGCTTTCTACAAGAACAAATAAGAATTAAGACAGCTAAAAGAAGAGTGTTAATCCTATAAAGGCTAAATGGCAAATAAAATTTAAAAAGCAATAGCATCCAGGATGAATAGATAGTAACACACAGTATCATAATCACCTTGGATGCCTAAATATAACAGAAACACATAAGACTTACATTAACTGCTTTCCCAATTTCCATTACACTTTAATTAATTGAATTTGAAAACAATAAAAAAAAATCTCTATTAGTTAATCTAGGCCCAGAATAATACAAAGTTTTGGTGAGTGCATAGTGCAAAATGAGAAAGAAAAAGCAAGAAACTAGGTCTAATACATGGTACAACGCAGAAAGAAAAAGCAAGAAGTAAATCAATTATTATTTAGCCCAAGCAAACCCACTTCAAAATCAAATCTTTATTGAAATTAATTTAACCTTATTACAATTTAGAAACAAATTGCAACAAAAAGGAAATTTATGATAATTGAGAATGAAAAATTTAGTTTTTAATGTACAAATCCAAATGGCACTTGGAGGAAGAAGACAACTTCTAGCCAACAATTATCAAAAGTTTGCAAGCAAAGTCCTTTTCTGCCAAAGCTTTGCCGAGCCTAGCTTCGGACCCAACCGTCAACCACCTACTTTGGCTAACATTGGAAAATTATCATCATTTCAAATCTAACTATGTCTACAATATAGAGTAAGAAGGAATCAATTATTATTATATCAAAATTGTTGTTTAGGGCATCTTGTGTTCAATCCATTCAGAGTAGCTCTTTAAGGCATCCTGATTCTAGAACAACTTTGTCCTCTTCAATTTCTTCATCAAGGAACTAAGTCATCCTGTTGTGTAATAAGCATAAAATAAAAGATTTGGGTTTATTTTTAAAAAATGTTTCAAGTTTTCTTAACCCTCATCATCCATGGAATTATGAGTCCATATCAAATATTGAGAAAGCTAGCCAGCATGTATAAAATAAAAGATTGAATCAAAAGATTATTTGGCCTGGTAGTAATAAGAAGAGGCATTATTAATTAAAAAAGTAAATTAAAAATCTCCATTTATTGTAGCTTTAAATATTTTTATTTTGTTTTTTTTTATTATTTAAAGTTTGTATTATTTCAATGAAAAGGAAACTTATGTATTTCCATTATTTTGGGTATATAGACATGGGACGAGGTACTCGAGGTGCGTCATCTTCTAGACAATCTATTGATCCAGCAAAACCACAAAGACAACTGCATCGTCTTATTTGGGGGCCTCATAGGGTTATTTCCACACAACAACAATTGCCCAATTTGAGCTAGCCTCCCTTCTAGCAATAGCTATCTAGTTTGACTCAACTTCCTATACAACAACAGCAGTAACTCATTATTACCCAATCACCATTGGATGAGCAAAACCTTGGTGATGATGCAGCAATGGAGGAGGGGGTTGAAGAGCGTAATTTGAAGGCGAAATTGGATGCATAGTTTGGTGTGCTTGATCTTGAGTTGGATGCTTAGCTTGAGGAGGAGTTATTTCATGCTATGCCAAAGACAGGTCGTGGCATGGATAAGGGGGATGATGCTCTAGCAGACCCGAGTCAAAGAAAGTTGCTTTCAATAAATCAATGAGGCACATTTAGTCATGAGAGGTTCGAGAGGACAGCAACAGTTATATGGAAGTCTTTATATGGTGAGCCAGTGCTCTTTTGGTCTAGTTGGCCTCAAGAAAAGAAGAGGATTGCTTGGGAGAATTTCTAGGTATAAAAGTTATAAAATAAAATCGAAAATTATAGAAATTATTGATTGAGGTTTTCTATTATTTTGACTTTTTGCTTCTTTTCTCCTCCATTCCTTGTACCTATCATTATCTTGATATCTTTGTTAATTATACAAGAAGAGAGTTGGCATGAGCCGAATTGACATTCATGTTTGTATGAGTCAGCTTT